GCCCATCTGGCCTAAAAGGCCACTCTAGAAATTTATCTGCATATAAAAAACTATAATGAGGAGGAGGGCTTAGTAGAGCCAGCTTCCCAAGGCCATCATCAGTGGTTCTCAAAGTCCACACATCACAGGTCGCATGCAGAAGTAAACTATGGGATAGGCAAGACTTTAATAGTACTAATAATGATGATGCTGTTTTCTGCTAATAGAATTATTGTATGCAACAATATTGCTACAATGCTTTATAGTCTTAAATTTTCCCATAAATGAATCAGAATCAAATATTTTAATAGAAAGCCTGCAAACAGGTAAATGTCCTTCATAGCAAACATAGGCATTGTTTTCTATCACAGTAGGACTGCGTTTCTTTGCTGGAGTGACCGGTGGACAAAAGAACTGAGAAACCTGTGTCCTGGGTTTTTTTTCCCCATGCAGTCCCAAAACCTGCAACTTGAAGTGGTACAATCCTCAAGATGCCTTCCCAATGTATTATAAACTGAAAAATATGATGGGGCTGAGCTTCTCATGTGGCCAAATGATCCTGTGCAAGCAACAGATGCTAGGAAGTGGCAGAACAATGCTGAGGGAGGAGGGAGAGTGCTCCAAATCTCCTGTGTTAACCTGCTGTGCTGGTGAATGGGGTCCTTTCAGCGTTAAATAAAAACGCAACTTTTATTACAGTACATGGAATGGGACAGGGTTACCCTCTTGTTCTTTCCATTCAGGCAGCACCAGCTTAGCAGCACCATTTTCTTTTAAAATCAAGGGATTTGTGTGTAGCTTTCTAGAAAATAGTCCCCATATGTATAGAAATTGGAACACCTGAGGAACAGTTCTATGTGGTCTGATGGATGGGACCCTGCCCTTATAATTGGTCCCCAGAACCTTTACAAATATGAGTTGCCAGCTGGATTGCTGTATTTTGGGAAACAGCAAAGAGGAAAGTGTAAAATGCTTTTGAGACCGATTAGTACTCTAACAAGTGATACATCAAGGGCCTGCTTTAAATGGCTGGAAAATAGGGCAATTTTTAGAGTAAGTCTGCTGAATGGGTGGGAAACAGGAAGGACTCTTGGAATATAGTCTACTAGGCTTTTACAACAAACTAAACACAGCCCATCTGCTATAAAGTTGAGTAATGATGTTTGGTATCCTGAGCCACATGCTTAGTCTGTGGGAGAACTTGAGGGACAGCCTCCCCACCCCCACCCCCCAATGTGGGACAGAGATGAGCAACTTGTGTCCAGGCTATGAGGCATAACAGGCACCGGGTGTTATTATGCTGCTTCCTACTTTTATGTTTTGTTCCCTTCCAGTTTTTGACATAAGTTATTGCCTTTTCACATTAGTCTCCTCTCCTCCTTTTTAAAAATAAATAAATTTTATTTCTAAAGAAAAGCCCATCCATCATGTTACAAGAAATAAATACAAAGCTTAACGTAGTAAACTGTCATCTTACTTGTTATATAATATAACTGTTGACCAATTGCTATTCCCCACAATTCTCAAAATCACATCTTAAAGAAATATCAACAATCTAAATACTCCAAACCATATGTCTCAAGATTTATTTTATTGGCATATTTTAATAAAGGCTTCCAATTTTCAGTGAATTGACTGTGCCTTATTTCTCCTCTACATAGTCTAACTTTATTAGTCATTTTTCCCATCAACATTGTATGCCATATCTTATTTGTAAATGCTTGTAATGAAAAATCTTGAGCGTTTTTCCAATTTTTAGTGATCTCAGATCGTTCGGTGCCTATAAGATTTGCAACTAATTCTTTATTTTTTGAGAACCGCCTTCCAATATGGATTAAGTTCTCAAGTCAAGACCCCACTGTAAGTTATTGCCTTTTCACATTCGTCTCCCCTCCTCCTTTTTTTAAAAAAAATAAATTTAATTTTTATTTCTAAAGGAAAGACCATCCATCATGTTATAAGAAATAAATACAAAGCTTAACATAATAAATTATATAACAAGATGACAGTTTAACTGTTGACCAATTGCTATTCCCCACTATCAGCGTCTCTACCCATCTAATTACCTTGTGCCAGAATGCTTCTATTTTGGGGCAAGAAATCCACATATGTTCCAAAGTTCCTTTTTGTCTACAGTTCCTCCAACATTTATCTAATATATCTTTATTAATTCTATGTAACTTTGTATGATATAAATGCCAGCGATGCACTACCTTCAGAACCATTTCTTTCACATTTGCTGATATAGATTTATATGCCTTGTAGGATTTTGAGCATAACCTTGCTAGCGTGTGAAATGAGTGCAATTGTACGTTAGTTGGAGAATTCTTTGGCACTGCCCTTTGGGATTGGGATGTAGACTGATCTTTTCCAATCCTCTGGCCACTGCTAAGTTTTCCAAACTTGCTGGCATATTGAGTGCAGCACCTTAACTGCATCATGTTTTAAGATTTTAAATAGTTCGACTGGAATGCCATCACCTCCACTGGTCTTGTTGTTAGCCATGCTTTCTAAGGCCCCCTTGACTTCACTCTCCAGGATGTCTGGTTCAAGGTCAGCAACCACACTATCTGGGTTGTCCGGGATATCCAAATCTTTCTGATATAATGCCGTGTCTGTTGTTTTTGTAATTTGCTAATGTTTGACTTCACCTCCATTAAAGTTTGTTCTAGAGGTGCAATTACTCTCTTCGTATCACTTTGCAAGTCTTTTCTTAATTGTTTCATTAGCTGCCTCATTGCATCCTTATCTTTTTTAGTTTTTTCTTGCCCTCGTCCCTTTGCCTTACGAGTTGCCTCGCTCTCGCAACCCAATGAGCTGGATATCTTTTCATCTTCATCTGAGAGGAGACTGTGGCTTCAACAGGGACTCCCTTTGATGTCTTCTTTTTTGGCTTTCCCATATCTAGGCAGCTTAGAATGCTTTACCTCTCAGTTTATTAACACTCACGCTTAATTGTTTACTTTCACAGGGCTTTGAGCTGTGCTGATCTTCTATGCAGCCATCTTTGTTGGCTTGCAAACCACGCCCCTCTTTCTTTTAGATTAATGACTTGCTGTACATTTTTTAGATGTCTGCCACTCCCATGGGGGGGCATGTTAAGGGACGCTGTGCAGAATGCTACATCTAAGGCCATCCAGGGCTCCCTAACCTGCATGTATCACATGCCTTATGACACACTTCCCTTTTGCTGCTACTGGCTGGGGATATGTGATAATTTGTAGTAACACCATGCTCCCTTTCCATCATGTCACCACAGCATCAAGACAGACACACAGGGAGTTAACTCTATCCTAAAGCCAGAATCCGGCATTGGGGTTTTGAGCCATGCACACACGGTTGGTCATAGTTTTCATGCCATTTTACTGATGTATTATCATGACGGCATGCACAGTCAATGCCACGAGAGAGAAAATAAGAGTTGAATGGTACTGGATATGTACAATTATACTCAAACTAAGCAGGATATAGCAGGATTTAGCTATGGTGCAATGAAGGCAAAGCTCCAAGGGCAGAGTTGGTGTAACAGCCAGGCAGACAGAAGTACAAATGAAGGCTTGGGAAGAGAACATGCCCTCATGCACATAGAGACATGCACTGGAGATTTTAGGAAACAAGCACATTTTGAAACAGAACACACCCACTAGCATCCTGAGAGAGTGCGCAGTAAGAAACCAAACATTCCAAAATACACCATCTTTCTGCTTCTCATTAGTTAAAAAGCAGTTGTTTGTTACATAACCAGGCTGTACATTATGTGTTTTTCTTAAAAACAAGTTACTTCACCAGGCTGGAGCTTAATAACCTCTGCCTACTATCTTCCATAATGTCAATGAGTGTTTGCATTCACCTGGCTTCGGTAGTTACAAGGGGCCATCTTATTCAAGACTATAGATACTTATCAAAGCAAAGAATCTGAGACTCACTTTAAGAACACGGACGTAGGTGAGTCTGTTTAAGGCTCCCTACGTCCCTTGGACTGATGCTTAAGAGCAAACTTTAATTCTATAGGACTACAGTACTAAAGTCCTTTCTATCTTTGCAACAATTAATAAGGGCTTGCAAGCAGAGGTGAGTCTCTGGTAAGGACCCCAGTGTGTGATACAAAGGATTTCCAAAATATTTCAACAATGCAAAAGAACAAAGTAACAAGTCTTTAGAAGTCCACTTCCAGGTTTAAAGAAACAGAGAGAGATTATTTAGGAATATATTAGAGCTACTGGAAAGCTCAGTGGTTTAGATATCTGGCTGGGGTTGGGAGTTCGATTCCCCATTGTGCCTCCCTAAAAATGGCTGGACTAGATTATCTATAGGGTCCCTTCCAACTCAGCAGTTCCAAGGTTATCATTATAAATGGTGCAGACGTTGTAGTTTCTGCAAGACTTGCAGCTGCACAGGAAGTCAAGGGGGCGGGGAAGTACCTCTACCGAGAGTCAGAAGTCCTCTCTTTTCCTTCACCCTCCCCATTTAGAAAGAGTGGGTCATAGCAAAGCTCGGCTGCATGAATTCAGCCACAGGTGTTGTTTTATAATAGATTCTTAAAAATACAGCATTGATTTTGCTCGGGGCGTTATTCATGTTAAGAGTTTGGGGGGAGGGGGAATTTTCCTGAATTAGGCAACGAATATTTTCGGCAATTACTTTGCAAAACCTTCGCTTGTTAAGTAGAAGAAAGCGATCAGGAGAAACGTGTTTGTTTAGAAAAGAAAAGAAAACCCTGCATGGGCGAGTTTTGCTCTGACTTGCAGTAACAAAAACTAGTCTAGCGACACGCGCAGTCCACGTATATATGTGGACATTCCGACGAGTTACAGCGGGAGTGACTCCCAGGGAAAACAGACATCCATGGGATGACGCTGCCCACAGGGGATTTTATTTTTTTTAATGCTGTGCGGCCGAAGACAGGTAAGAGACGCGCATCCAACCACAACGAGCAAAAAGCATTACATACGTACACGTGAAAGCAGCAGTACACGCAAACGTCTTTCTTTCAGAATATGCGAGAAACGAGCGGCACGTACCGTTTGGCTAGGCTTGGTCTCTCGGCCTTGAGCAGGAGTCGAAGTTGGCAAAGTGGCTGCAGCCGAACAGGGCAGAAAGGGCCACGACGAAAGATTTTTATACCTTTCCACGTAATGTTATTAGTTAACTTTCTGCCTATATTCTCTTTCCTCCCCCTTTCTTCTCTTCCCGCTGGTTGGCCAGGTGTCAGGGCGCCGTGCTTGTGATTGGCTGCTGGACGGTGATCGTCATCAGCCTATCAAAGCCGCTCTTCCCTCCTCCCCCCCCCATCTCCCAGCTCAAAGGTAGGCTCCCCGCGTGCTGGTGGCGTGGATATCCAAAACAGCTGGTGCGTGCGGGGGTTGTGGCTTTTCTGAGTGCCAACGATAAAACCGTCGCAGGTGGAAGCTTTTCCTCCCCTTTGTGCGCAATGTCATATACTCCGCCTGCATGGTTTTTTTAAAAAAACCCGCAGAACTTTGAAAGTTGTTTTTTTAAAGCAAGTGGTTATAGTCTCAAAGCTCAACTGAATAGTTACTGTTGCACTTTCAAAAGTGGCTGTTTGCCAGTTTGTCAAAAATAACTAAGATAGTTACTGTTGTTTCATTTTTTAAAATAAAGCATGCTTCGCGTTTTTCACTTTCCACAGCACAGAGCAGGGCTGGGCTTGTTAGATACAGTATTTCTTCATCATTTAGCAAAACTAAACTGTAATCACCAAAGTAATTCCGCAAGTTCTTTATGCCACAGAAGGAATTACTTTATCACTCTTTAAGTTAGAGCTGTGATAGGGTGTAGCTTTACCTTTCTTGCTGGAAAATGGACTGAATTGCAAGTAAATTTGTGGCCTTGGGCAAGCTGCACAGTCATAGGGTGCCCCCAGGAGAAGGGAATGGTAAACCACTTCAGAGTATTCCCTACATAAAAAGCCCTGAAGTGGTTCACCATAAGTCTGAATTGACTTGACAGCACGTGGTTATTGTTATCATTAGGTTTTTGCAACAAGGGCAGGTACCAGGTGTCTTTCTTTACACATGACTTAGTCCAAGCCTGGTTCATAAATTAAAAACTATAAGCAGGGTGAGTTGGAAGCTTTAGTTTGCCCATCAGCAATAATCAGTTGCACTGCTGATTGAGTCTACACACAAATCACCTTGTCACAGTCTTTTATAATCACATTTTTGTTTAATGATGTTATGTTAGGTGCTGTCATGCTGCTTCCAACTCATGATGATGGTACAAATTAATGATCTTCAGAAGACTCTACTGTTAACAGCCCTGCACACATCTTGCGAACACAGAATATGGCTTCCTTTATTGAGGAATTTCATCTCGTCTTTGACCTCTGTCTGTTCCTATTTCATTCCATGTTCCTATTCCATTCTATGCACTACATTTTCTTTGCTATAGTGGTTTGTCTTCATATGGAAGGTCCAAACTATAATAGCTTCAGTTCAGCTTCTATTGAGAATTCACCCTTGATTGGATGTTGAATCTCCTTGTTTGTCTTTCTGGTGAGCCATGGTATCCATAATGCTCTCCTCCTGCACCACATAAGAATCTGTAAAACTCTTCTCGTGCCTCTGTCATCTTTATTATATCTATTCAGAATTAAGGCAGCTAAATCTGTATGGGAGCTTCCAGGTGGAAGTACATCAAGTTCCAGCTTGAATGTTTCTGAATTCTACCTAAGGCCCATTTTATGCAGGTAATTACAAAAATCTCTTTATTATATATGTCATGAACAAGACAGAACTTCTCATAAATCAGTGTAAAATTGGAATATGTTTCCTTTGGGATGTTTTGCTGTTTGCAATACGAGGTGGGGTTCAGTTCAAGCTTACTTAGATCCAGCTGCAACATTAGATTCATTTTAATATGCTTTTGTATGGACTCTTAGGGTTGAGTTAAGGACAGTATAGTTTCAAGGTGGTTCTGTCCTTTGTGTGTTCTCATATGGTTTTGGACCATAACCTCCAGAAATACCACAGCCACAGTAGTTATGAGACTCAGTAAGTGATGATTGAAAAAGAAAGAGAGAAAGAAAGAGAAAAGAAAGAAGTTTCACATTTCTTCATAAACTATATTTTTCACATTCTTGAAGGTGCTTGATCTGGTGTCTATATTCCTTCTCTTCACCTTTGGTTTATATATTTCTCAGATGCATCCCCCACCATGTCTCTCAAAAAGTGATGTTTAAGGTGGCCAGCAATTATAAATGTAATTAAAACAAATGGAATTAAAACATAAAATAGTTTAAGAGCACAATGAGAAATACATACATAAAAGAGAGAATGGCAGAAACACCTTTAAAAGGCCTTCATCCAGAAACCCAGATTAATGGCCAAAGGCCTATCTGTAGGCACTTTGCACATGCACAGAGACATGTAGCTTTTTTGAAAGGCAAATACTGCCAATCCTTTGTGACTTGTAATGATCACTTAAGCGTACTCCATTGCATGTTTACCCAATGTTTCACTATGTATGTACCTAGTATGAAATCCAGACCTGTGCTAGGAAAATCTAGTCTTTCTGTGATGGATAAGAAAAGATGTTGGGATTGCTCGGTGTAGAACACATTTATCACATAAGGAAAAGCTCTTCATTTTCTGCCTAGTAACTGTTTTGCACTCCTGAGTCGCTCCTGGGGATGGTTTGCAAGTGGTTAGATAGTGGAGCCCAGGTGAATGTTTATTTAAGTTAGCCCAGTCTCAGATGCAGTGCAAACACTTACTGACCTTGAACATTAGACCTTAATTTCATTTACAGAGGCAATGTTTGCTGGGACACAGAAGCTCTCCCCATTACTATTTGATTCAAGAGGCAGGCTGGACCCTTAGCCATCAGGCAAACAACAGCTGGCTTCTAGAAAGAACTAGCTTTGTTTGTGACTCATCACCCTAATTTATCCAGAGTTGTGCTAAATAATATTGTTACTACTCAGCTTCCTTCCCGGTGTTTCCCCTAAGAATGGCTTAATAGCTCTTAAACCACAACAAGGTGTTAGAAGCAGCCATGTATTTTTCTTAATTATTTGTCTCTGCTTTAATTTTTAATATTACATTCTTTCCAACATTCTGAATGTGGTTTTGAAGAGCTCTCGCATCCTTTCAAACAAGCCCAAATAAATGAATTGTATGAGAACTCAGGTCTGTTTGTGTAGCCATAGCTATTATAAGAGATAATCAGATAAAATAAAACAAATGCATGTCAGTCAGTATCAGCACACAAACAACTGAATTTATTTAGCCTGAAAAATCTACCATCAGCATCAACTTTCCTCCTTAAAACTGCTGCACCAAAAGCAAAGTAGGGTATCTTTTCAGAAGTACAGTGGTGCCTTGACTTATTAACGTCCCGACTTATGACCATTTCAAGTTATGACGAGCTCCGGACGTAAAATTTTGCTTCAACTTGCGGCCAGAGCTTCCGGTTATGAACAGAAAAAGGCAGGGCAAAAAGGGGGGGAATTCAAATTGCTAACTGTTGGTAGGTGAAAAGGCTGCTTCTTTTGTAGCTCTTTCACCCCAACTGTTAGAGTGAGTGCGATCGGAGGAGGCTTCGGACTGCCTGGTAAGGTAAGCTGCTGCTTTCTGCTTCTTAAAAACTGTTCTGGGTGGGTTTTGCAGTGTGGTTTTGGGCTGGGTGCTGGGATTATGCTTCTATGCTGTGATAGGTCTTGCAGGGTTTGTTTGCTTTTTGGTGTTTTTTTCCCATTTCCGATGGGTCTGGGGGGGTTTGCTTTGAGGGAGTTCCCCATTTTCAGTGGGTTGTGCGGGATTTGTTTGCTTTTTGGTGTTTTTTTCCCTCCCATTTCAGATGGGTCTTGCAGGGTTTGTTTGCTTTTTGGGCTTCCCCCCATTTCTGATGAGTCTTGCAGGATTTGTTTGCTTTCTGCTTTGCTTTGCTGGGTTTTTTTGTTTGTTTTTTGCATTTCCGATGGATCTTGCACGGTTTGTTTGCTTTTCTTTCTTTTTCTTCTCCCTTTGGCCGGAACGGATTAATCACGTTTCTTATGGGTCTTGCAATGGTTTTTGTGGGGTTTTTTTGGTGATTTTCTTTCTTCAGCCAGAATGGATTAATTGCATTTCAATGCATTCCTCTGGGAAATGGTGCTTCGACTTATAATCATTTCGAGTTACAACCGGAGTTCCAGAACCAAATAAGTTCGTAAGTCGAGGCACCACTGTATAGAAGTAGGAAAAAGTGTACCAATTGCCAACCAAGATGTTGACTATACAGACATTTAACCTTGATCTGTTGCAGGGATCAGTGGGTTTGCTCCCAAATATGACAATCAGATGATTGCTGAAGCAAACCAGCTTGCCCTCAGAGTGGTCTTATGTGCACCTTTCTGGCTTGTTAGGGGCTTCTGCTTTTGTTGTTGTTGTTGCTAGTAGGATTATTCTCTTTTGGTCTGTTTCCAACATGGCTCTATTGATATTAGCTGATTTAAGATTCCTTTGCTCCTTGGCACTGGGGCAGAGGAAGTGAATTCTTTTGTTCAGTGATTACATCAAGCTAAATTAAATACAGTGAAGTTCTGAGAGCTCCTATCCAGTGCTGCATTTTCATATTGCCCCTGTTGACTACCTGAAGACAGGGGTGAGAGGAGTTAATTTCTTATTCCTTGTATTGTCACATGGCCTTATCACCATCTCTAGAATTTGCAAAGGACAGGCTGTTGCACTTCATTTCTGTGACGACATCAACCATCAACCAAACTGGCTGTAAACGACTAGTAGGTTGCAGATGGTTCAAAGGGCATGGGATGATGACATCAACCATAGTATTTAAGTTCCAAACTGGCTGTAAACGACTGGTAGGTTGCAGATGGTTCAAAGGGCATGGGTCTGTGAGCTCAATTTGGTTTGGCTCCAAGTATTTCATTGCCACTCATGAAGAGATGAAACTGAATATTTGCTGCTGTTGGAATTAACTGGCTGTTCAGGATCTCTTAGGAAACTCTTTGGAGAATAGCCCTAGCCCAGTGGTGCAACACATATGGTGTGGGCAAAAAATCCCACATTAAATTCTTCATGTCATCAGGGACAGCAGGGAAAGATCTCTGTCTGATAAACTGTACAGTGTATCTACACTACAGCATTGCAGTAGTTTGTCATTATGG